AACCAAAATCCAGTGAAAAGGATTTATATTCTCTAATTAGTTCTGATTAACCAAGATCTAAATAATTTGAAAATTTTATAAAAAAATATATATACAGAGATTTATTTGTTAAATACCAAGTTAAAAAACGCTTAAAAAAAACATATTATTTATTCTTTAAAATTGGTTTTAACCATGTTTAAGCTATTTTTTATGTTTATGATCCATAAACACACTGTATAAAGACAAACAGCTTTGGAATGTAAATGATAACTTAGAATTACATTTTTTTTGTGAATGTTAAACACTACCTGCACCACATAATCCTGATGGTCGCCGTCCTGTGTGCATCCAATCTCTTTTCATCCTCTGCAGCAGTCTGAGAGCAGTCATCGAAACCTCATGGGTCTTTTCACCAAACTCCAACATGTGGGCGAATCGTGGAATGTACAGACATGGATCTAAAAATAGAAACCAACAGATCTGTAATCAGCGTCTAGACACAAACCTGGGAATATAAAGCAAATATGGATTGAAGGTTAAGTTTATAGCTTGTGTTACAATTGGAATTAATTCACATCCTAAGAGCACTTCGGGTGAGAACAATTGTGGCTCAGAGAAATGCTTAAACCTGTCCTTCAAACTGATGGCCTTATCTTTTCAAAACTCGCAATCTAGAGTGTAAACGTCCCCTTCTGAGGGATTATGAAATAGGGATGAGCCCTTCAGAATGAAACGCAGCCTTGACTCTGTCAACTCGTTTAGCAGATATCCTTTCAAAAATTAAAAAAAAAGCAGAATTTCTGTGGTTCTCCTTGACTCCATGTTAAATCTAGTACACAGTGGCCCTATGGGAACCTTTAAAAGTGGTTTGGCTTAGAGTCACTCTGTGGGAGCAAATATCCCTCACTTCCACCTACTTCTAAGTCCTTGGGTAAACTCATTCTGCTGGCCCAATAAAGCCCAAACATGACTGCTGTCCTAATAAGAAGGAAATGAGCTCAGCTAAGAAAGGCGATCTTATCTAAGCTTACGCTATAGGGACTGCACCTGCACTTACGAGATCTCCATTGACTGTGTCAGTCACTTGGCTTTTTGAACATCTCAAGTCTTTTTTATTAAATTATCATATTAATGCAGTGCAGCAGAGCAGTTGACAGACTAAATATTCAGTGGCATCTGTGAACCAGGAAATAGTGTAAGTCGGTTAAGAAAAATGTAATTTTCTTATGTAGCTTTCTTTGGAATGATCTATACTGCTCTGAAAAATAAATTGATTTTTCAGACTTCTATTTTTCAGTCATGGCTATAAAATTATCTGATTTGTGAGACTGCGGCTGTCAGAGTTTGATTAAGGGAAAAGTGATAAATGAATACAGAGAGAAATAATCAAATAGATCTTTTAGGACTGTTGGTGATGGGGACTGGAAACTTGCCATCGCACAGGTCTCTGAAATAATTTTTTGATGAGGGTTGTGGGCAGCACTGCAGGTCGGATTTGTAAAATCCTCTATAAGAATGTCATATGCTACCTATTTCTAACAACATACACACTGTATTACAGCTAAATTATGAATGATGTCCATATTTTGGTGCCAAAATGAGTTCTGGTCTAGATTGAACTCAGGCCTCCTTCATATGTGGAAATAAAGCAGATATAAATCGGATATGCGACAATGTGACTATCATATAAACAGCCAGATCGGATTACCTTTCTGTTATGTACGTCATTAAACTTGCGACATTGTGGTACTTCTCTGCGGTTTAATGACGTGTGGAGACGTCAACACGGTAAACAACAACAACAGAGGAAACATGGAGGAGGAAAGTGGTCAGTCGCCACAATTTGCTCCCACCAGACCTGAGATCTCTCTTGTACCCACAAATTCCCCTGAGTGGGGGAGGACACAATATATAAACCATAGCTAGCTGTGATGACGGCCCTTTCCCTCCTCCTCTGCCTCAAAATCATTTTTAAGTTGGGCGAACTTCGCATATTTTGCATAGCTAAAAGCAAGACAACTTCTTCCATTGTGCGTGGCGCAGATGCTAAAACCCACCTTTATGCATTCGAAACGTCTAAATAGTATGGCAAATGTAAACACATGAATCTGATTTGGCTCACAATTTAAAGAATGTGTAAACAGATAGGTAAAACAATCAGATATAGGCAACAAATCGGAATTGGGCATCAAGACCTGACAGTGTAAAATGGGGCCATAGACACCCCTTTAAAGGTATGCACAATATGAATTTCTGCCACTAGTGGGCGCATATTCACAACAAACAAATGTGTATTTTGATGATGTCACAATGAGTGTGGAATCTTGGGAGTTGTTGTCTTTATTACATGCTATGGAACTCCTGGAGAAATCATGTTCATGGGTGAGCTAAAGAATTCAATAATTATTATCATAGTAGTATGAAGCACAGCAAAGCTAGTCACTAGTTAAAATTGTTTATTTATATATTATTTTAACATTCTTTGAAACATCTGGGATAATGTAATTAATTAAGTCAGCAAAATAATTACAGGTAACATTGTTCTAGTGTTTTTTGTATTTTATAATTTTAAAAATCTTACACGTTGTGCCATTTTATTATGCATTCATCAGATGTTTCAATCTTTGACCTTGTCTTGTGTGTCTAATGTTATTAAAATCATCCTTTGCTTTGGGAGAAGCTTGATTTTGACACAGTGGGAGTGCTAAATCGAAAGTGCTAATCAAGACCTTTTGCAATTAGTGCATGGCAGAAGTGTGAACTGTATTTTCAATAATCTGTAAAATAAAACCCACACAGAACCATAGAAACTACATAATTAAAAACCAAAATAGATGAACGCTAACAGTCCTGCATTATATATATATTTTTTGTAATTGTTCTAACACCTATTGTTTTAAAAATAATTCAGGAGGTGTAAAAGAAGACTCACTCTTTAAATAAATAGAAGGTTTGAAGGTCTGTCCAAATATACTTTCCTCAAACACATGTCGAAGGAAAATTGACATTAAAATGCTAGCAATTCCCCCATATGAAATCCTTAGGTTAATTTGCAAATATACAGTCTTGTGGATGAAGGTCTGAAAACTTTGAATAGTGAAAAACCGTTATGTGCCGAGTCATGTTTTCATTCATTTTCTTTTCGGCCTAGTCCTTTTGTTAATCAGGGGTCACCACAGAAGAATGAACCGCCAACTTATCCAGCATATGTTTTACACAGTGGATGCCCTTCCAGCTGCAACCCATCACTGGGAAACACCCATACACCATATTCACATAGACTACGGACAATTTATTCATTCATTCATTTTCTTGTCGGCGTAGTCCCATTATTAATCTGGGGTCGCCACAGCGGAATGAACCGCCAACTTATCCAGCAAGTTTTTACGCAGCGGATGCCCTTCCAGCCGCAACCCATCTCTGAGAAACATTTTGAGAAAACCCATCTCTGAGAAAAAAGCGGATGCCCTTCCAGCCGCAACCCATCTCTGAGAAACATCCACACACACACTCATATACTACGGACAATTTAGCCCACCCAATTTACCTGTCCCGCATGTCTTTGGACTGTGGGGGAAACCGGAGCACCCGGAGGACATGCAAACTCCACACAGAAACGCCAACTGAGCCAAGGTTCGAACCAGCGACCCAGCGACCTTCTTGCTGTGAGGCGACACCACTACCTACTGCGCCACTGCCTCACCCACGGACAATTTAGCTTACCCAATTCACCTATAGTGCTTGTCTTGTGGTGGAAACTGGAGCACCTGGAGGAAACCCACGCGAACATGGGGAGAACATGCAAACTCCACATAAACTCCACACAACTAACCCAGCCGTGGTTCGAAACAGCGACCTTCTTGCTGTGAGGCGAAAGCGATACCCAGTGCGCCACCACATCATGTTTTGGAATGTGGAACTGTCTGCACATTAACAGCTAGGCTGAATCATTCATTGTCTTTAAACCGACACATCAATAACTTTAATGAACTGTCAGCAAAACATCAGCAAGAACATCACAAATCAGTAGAGATTCATTCATTATTTTGGTGACACATTTCTACATAAAATGCATGCAAACGGAGATGACTGAAAGTTTTCTGTGGTCTATAAACCAAATTCAAAAAGATTTTTTTCTGTTTTTTACAGTCTTTCTCTTACCTTTATTACCAAATGACAGAATAGTAGATTTTTGGTTCACATCATTTTGGCAATTGTATAAAATTGTAAGTATAAAATTGTATAAAATTGGCAAGTATAAAAGCACCCTAAAGGTGTTTGTATTGTTCTTTGCTTTAACCCATTTACTAATGTTTTTAAATCCTTCTGTGTTCTTCTAATACTTATAATTCTGACAGACTGATGAACATTTTATTTTCAGATACATACACAGCTTAAGTAGTTCCTGGCTGGTTTTGGCAGCCTTATAATTCCATATCATGACAATTTATTTCACAGACTACAAATGTTACATGTCCATTATATTTTGATAATTCAAGACTCTTCATCAGTTATGCATTCCATAATTGACATTTATTAATTGATGGATGGATGGATGGATGGATGGATGGATGGATGGATGGATGGATGGATGGATGGATGGATGGATGGATGGATGGATGGATGGATTGATTGACTGACTGACTGCACTGACTCACTGCTCCTTTACTATGTTTTGACCAGCTTGCTTGCTAGTTATTTGGATGTTTTTAGACGTGTGTGTTTTAGAAATAGAAGAGGGTGAGAAAATGCAGACAGAATTTTCATTTTTTGGGTAAACTATCCCTTTAAATCATGAACCAGCTTCCCCAACCAAAACTGACTTTCTGAATCAGTTTAACATTTAGTACATTTCACTCACTGAGTGCATGTTTCACAGACTCTGGCTGGCAAAAAACATCATTGTCTAAATTGTTTGAGATAGATAAGCCGCTTATCCTAGGCGAAGGATCCAGTTTCCAGCACCGGAGCCCTCTGTTGGAGATCCGGGAAAGCTGTACAAGCCCAACCCCCTCTCTCTCTCTCATAGCACACACTGTAGATAACATGGCTCCTGGTTGCCAGCGAGCCTCCAAACATCAAACCTGAATGTATTTTTCCTGGCAGCTGCGCTTCGCTCGGCTCAATAAGGTAAAGAACGACTAAAGATGTGCAATTTAAGTTCCTCAGCATTTACTGCTTTATTAAATCGCAAATAATGATTCGTAGTACTTCGACTAAAGAGTCCGTTTTGGTGGACAAGTCTATGCGGACGGACGGTGGCTCTGTTCTGCTGCTACTTTACGTCTTTAAAACCGGTTTGTTAAGGACGCTGGAGCTATAATCATTGATTGTACATGTTAATGGTGAACACGGGGGATAATTCTAGCGAGCACATCAGAGATTCCCTCAGTAGGTTGAGCGCTTGGTTGCAGATGTTTATCCCTTATGAGACGTTACGGCTGCATCAGCAAATTGACTGATCCTGTGAAGTTGAAACATCGCATTTGGAGCTCGCGTATGGCTGTAAAGCGTTACAATGTTGAGTTTTGTGTCACGCGCTTTTGTGGAGAAAAGTTTATTAAAAATCCCCTTAACGCTTCGTGCGGGATTTCATAAACGCTCATCAATCTTGCTTGGCCTCTGATGATGATGATGACATTGATGACAGTAGTATAAGATGATATGATACTTTTACATGTTTTTCTGACCATGTTGTTGGAAGTGTTGACGTGAACGTGCATTGTCAACAACGGAAATGTGAATCTTGCATTAAACGACTGCGATTCATGTCAACCATTCAGCTTGCTTACCATTAAATATTCCTTTAATAATCAGTTCAATTTTTAGCATGATGTTTCATTTATCGCTTACAATTACTAAATTATGACATTGTCAGATTTAACTAAATAAGGTTAGGTTAAATGGATCCACTGCGTAGACGCGAGACATTTTAATGACTTCACATGATTTTTTTAGAGGCAGAACGAATAAAATGGGACATAAATGGTTTTTAAATAATAAAAACGTAAAAGCACCTCATTGCATTTGTGTGAAATACTGCTGTGTATATGTTGTCATTTTAAGCAACTAAGTTAGTCGTAACACATTTCAGTCTCACGAGCATTCAATGCTTCAATACTGAACAACATCAGTTCATCAAAGTATTAAACTGCGAGACAGGTTAATTAAGTAACGCTCCTTGTGATACATAAATGTTTTGATGTACCATAGCAGACTCATAAGAATCATTCTCTATGTAGGCTACTATAACTAACGTTACACTCACTAGTTGTGTTGGTTTTGCTTCAGTAAAAACCAATGGACACACTGGAGTCGATAACACTCTGCTCGGTGTAACGCTGAACAGCTGACTGAGATTTGTTATGAAAATCATTCGGCTGGTTAAATGTTATTAGGTTTTTCGCTTCTCAACAGTAGTAAACAAAGCGTAAAGGGTTAACTGGTGCTCGTGTGAGCGGGCGAGAGAGGCGGGCGGTCCTGCTGTGGGAGGCGCAACTGGGCTGCTGATGTCAGATTCACTTGTAGTTTGATTGGTCAAAACGGAGCAGGACGTCCTCTCCCGTCACACAAAACCTGCTTTACACTACAGCGTAAAGGCGCGGAGAGGGGATACACCACAGATTTGTAGGATGACAAGGACCACGTAGCACTTTCCATGGTCGATTCGGGGCTATTACTTTATTATTTATCCGACTGCAGCAGTTCTATTGACTTGCATGCTATTACTTTCAATGTTCGCGAGGATGCGATGAGAAAGAAGAAGAAGTCATCGAGCTGGAATATTTCCGCTGGATGGATCCTTGCGTTTGTTCTGTAAATGTTTCCATAAGGAGGAAATGAAAAAGCTATGGTATATTTAGCACAAACGAGTGATCGAGGCTTGTAGTTTGTAATTAAATTAAAGGGAACCCTTCCCTCCGCTACACCTGCCTATTAATTACGCGCAGACTGGTGGATAGACTTGCTGATGCCAACAACGCCAGATTGCCTATATGGCAGGATCATGAAGTTTTTGACGTTTTTCCTTTTGCTTCCAGAAACCTTAAAAAGGACTAGAAAGAGTGGGAAACAGCTCAGCAAGCTGCCAGTATGCTATGAAATCGTGACTTTGTCCTTGAGGAAGAAGATGGCTGCAGAACTCTATCCTGCCAGCATAAATACCAACCTTCCAAACAGTAACAGCACAGCAGTCACAGCTGCCAGCAAAAAGACCATCGTCCAAGTCACTCAAACGGTGACCACACCGACTACAACTGCCACTCAGCAGAACATCAACAATAATAACGTCGAGACTGCCAGCTGGCAGTCCACTCACCCGACATTGCGAGAAAGGTATGAGCACATTTAGCTAGCTTTTCAAATCACCTATGCTGTTTTTGTTTCATCAATGTGATATTCTGTTCCATTTGTTCTCGCCAGGAATGCTTTGATGTTCAATAACGAACTCATGGCAGATGTTCATTTTGTTGTGGGTCCTCCTGGCGCATCCCAAAAAGTTCCAGCACACAAGGTGAGCGCATCCACCCATGTTAAACCGCATCTTGAGCATTTCTTTCATCCACCGTCTGCTTAACTGCTCTTGTGTGGCATTTGTGCTTTCAGTATGTGCTGGCAGTGGGGAGTTCTGTTTTTGGTGCCATGTTTTATGGAGATCTAGCAGAAGGAGAATCTGAGATTCATATTCCTGATGTGGAACCTGCTGCTTTTTTAATTCTTTTGAAGTAAGTCTTACATTTTAGTGCATCTAGGTGATACTCATTTTCTTTGTCTGGACCTTGCAGCTTATTAAATAAGAAATAAATAAAAACAATGCATACATACAATTATGTTTACACTTGTTTGAATTTCTAAATTAAATAGTTTAAAATGGTTAAACGTTTTTAAACAAATGATTATATTTAATACATTTATAAATACTGAGTAATATTTTTTCTAAATTATTATATTTGAAAATATGTTTGTCGATCAGAGTCATTTTGTGCAACCAACATTGAGAAGAAAAACTCAATATAGTCCTTCGTGACTGAATGCCAAGATTAATAAGTGTCTTAAAATTTCAAGTGATTTACTTCTGGTAAAATTTGTTCAGGTTGAGAATGTCATTTGGTACATCTCCCAAAAAAATTATACATTTATTAATAATTGATTTTTAAATGCAGTTCATATATACAGTGACTAAATATTAAATGTATTTATATTTTTAGGGTCAAAAAGCAGTCAGTTTTACTTGGTTGTACTTCAAAATTGTTTGTAAACCAAAATCATTTGGTGCAACCAATGTGAAAAAAAACTAAAAAGCCCTTCATTACTGCATGTCCAGTTTAAAAGTGTTAAAATCTCTAATATTTAGATTTTGACAAGTGTAGTTCAGGTTAAGAATATATTTGTAAAAAGTAATGTTAATAAAATATACCTAGAAATATGTATAAATGTGTAATAACAGTTGCATACTAGATTATTATATATATTAGCATTATTATCTTATGTGGAAAAAAAAGAAGCATCTAATTATTTTCCTGTTCCTTTCTAGGTACATGTACAGCGATGAGATTGAACTTGAAGCGGACACAGTGCTGGCCACTCTGTACGCTGCCAAAAAATATATAGTGCCTGCGCTGGCTAAGGCCTGTGTTACCTTTCTGGAGACAAGCCTGGAGGCCAAAAATGCCTGTGTGTTGTTGTCCCAGAGTAGACTTTTTGAGGAGCCTGAGCTGACCCTGCGGTGTTGGGAGGTCATTGATGCTCAGGCTGAACTGGCGCTTCACTCTGAGGGCTTCTGTGAGATTGATCTCCAAACGCTGGAGATCATACTAAAGAGAGAGACTCTGAATACCCGGGAGGCAGTGGTCTTTCAGGCAGCTCTTGATTGGGCTGTGGCTGAATGCAAAAGGCAAGGACTGGGACCGACCGCTCGTAATAAAAGGGCAGTGCTGGGCAAGGCTCTCTACTTGGTTCGCATCCCAACCATGACCCTGGAGGAGTTCGCCAATGGAGCTGCACAGTCAGATGTATTGACTCTGGAAGAGACTCATGATGTCTTCCTTTGGTACACTGCAGCCAATAAACCCAAGCTGGAATTCCCACTACAAAAAAGAAAAGGTTTGACGCCACAGCGATGCCATCGCTTCCAGTCTTCGGCCTACCGCAGTAACCAGTGGCGCTACCGTGGACGTTGCGATAGCATCCAGTTTGCAGTGGACAAGAGGATTTTCATCGCAGGACTTGGCTTGTATGGTTCAAGTGGTGGAAAGGCAGAGTACAGCGTCAAGATCGAACTCAAGCGCCAAGGAGTGACTCTGGCCCAGAACCTAACAAAATTTATCTCAGATGGATCCAGCAACACCTTCTCCGTATGGTTTGAACACCCCGTCCAAGTGGAGCAGGACACCTTCTACACAGTCAGTGCTGTATTGGATGGGAATGAACTTAGTTATTTTGGACAGGAGGGTATGACAGAAGTGCAGTGTGGAAAAGTGACCTTCCAGTTCCAGTGTTCCTCGGACAGTACCAATGGAACTGGAGTCCAGGGGGGTCAGATCCCAGAGCTGGTCTTCTATGCCTGAAATTGTCAGGATGTCCCATTGTAGTGCATTCCGCTCACTGGAATTAAGATGGATTGAATACAGGGTCTCGTGAGGCTCTTGCCTTCATTATGTAGCAGTTGTGAACTCAATGGTTATGGCTCCTCTGTACCACAATGGACTCAGATGGAAGGAATGTTCTTCAGCTTTATTTATTGCAAAAAAATATCTATATTTGATTTTAATTATTGACGCTGCTGCAAGCAGATCTATATATAAATATATATAAATGAGATAGTTGTACTGCTCTGATAGTGGACGGAAGCCACTAGTGTGTCATGTTTTGTACATAACGTATTTGTTTTCAGCTTGATGCTGATTGACAAATAAAATGTCTTGTATTAGTGAACCGCTTCCCGAACTGCAGATTATAAATGTTTTTGTTCCTCGAGTCCAAAGTTGTTTCCCCTTCTTATTCTTAAATGAATATCAAATGCAAAGGATAATACATCTTTAACAGCAAGCAAGTTCATTTTACACAAAAAAGTGTAAAATAATTCATTCAAATTAGATGTGAGATTTCCATGTTATGTTGTGCATTCCATTCAAACTTAAATCCAAAAAAACGAACCCACACTCCACAACTGCCATGGGTTTGTGTAAATGAGACAGTGATTGTTAAGTGTGGATGAAATATTCATCTTGAAAGGCCACATAAAGAACCCATTATCCCCAGCAGGCTTCATGAGGAACTGAATGGGGAGTCTGTTTGAATTGAGCCCATAGAATCTGCTGCTCCACTGTTTGCATTTTAATTGAGGGTTTACTAAACATGGAGCAGATGCAGCTTGGTAAAACAGCAGATTTTAACCCAAAAAAAAAAGAAAAATACCCACAAAAACAGATGAATGTGGAATTATGACACATGGATAGCTGCTAATCAGACTGAATTTTGGGATTATGCCCAGTACTTTAACATTGGGATGCACTCTTGTGTATAGTTGAATTGTTTTCTTTCTGTTTCCTCTAATCTGACAAGTCTGTTTAAAACAAATCTGCAGGCCTGGTCTGTACACAGAAGGTGAAAAAAAAGGAATATGATGAACCATAATGGATTTTCTGACATGACACAGTGCCCCCTAGTTACATCAACCAATATTGCAACTCACTATGAATATAATTTCCAGATGGGTGAAACATTTTCAGCCTGTGCCTGAAATAGCTTGAATTAAAGAATATTACAGTTCAATACATCTGTGTGAGAGTGCAACAATGGAAAATCTTCTCCTTTTGAATCAACTAGGAATCCATAGACCAAATCAGATGAACAGATTGAGCATACTTGTATTGATCCCGCTGTGGTGTATTATTGATAACCAATTTAGCAAATGAATTGTTTTGAGAGAAGCTGCCCGCTTTATTAATGAGGCTCGTTCGAAAGCGATGTTCCGGTCAGCTGAATTACATTAGAGATGTCACAGAAAGGTCATTACAGGGAGACTTACCGACAGCCGGTGCATTGATGCAGAGCTCTCTTGCCAACAGGAGAAAGGTCTTGCCCAGAATGTAAACATTAACCTACAACAATGAGAAAGAGCACTGAAAAACAAATCTTCTGGATTTCAATGGGTTCAAAGGTATATTACCAGTCACTTGAGACAGGCTTAAATCTATTGGACAATTACTTCAAATGTTTTACATTTTAACAAAATAGTGTTAATGTTCGTCAAGTTATTTATTCTAAAATAAAATACAGTAAAACTGTAAAATATTAATATTGCAAATGCATAGAACTATTTTAGGTCACACTTTATTTTAAGGTATATTTCTCACTATGAATCAATATTACCTACAGCATTTGCCTCAATAAATTGCTGCTTAATAATAGTAATTAAGGAAATAGTTATGTTTAGGAGCTAGGCATATAGAATAAGATCTTGCAGAATATGTTGTTTTACTAATTAAAGTACTAATAAACAGACAATATTTTAATAATAAGCAGGTAATAAGCCTCGAGTTAAAAGTGAGAATTGCTACTTAAAAGGATATTTCAACCAAAACTGAAAATTGACATAACTTACACACCCTTCGCTTATTCCGAACCTGTTTGAATTTCTTTCTTCTGTTGAACACAAAAGAATATATTTTGAAGAAAGCTGGAAACCCAGTATTTCGTTTTCATGCTAGAAGTTAATGGTTACAGGTTTTCTGCTTTCTTCAAAATATCTTCTTTTGTGTTCAACAGAATAAAGAAACTCATAAAGGTTGAGGAAGTGTAAATATTGAGTAAATCTTTTATTTTTTGGTGAACTATCCTTTTAAACTAAAATGTTAAAACATTTTGTGTTGATCATTAAGAAATCTTTTTCTGCTCACAAATGGTGTTGATAGAAACTGCTAAAATTTAAATACCTGCATATGCTGCAAATAAAAAGTTTTATTTAAAGAGCCCTTATATGCATTAAAAGGGTCATATTTTGGTTTTGGGGGTCTCCAATAACAGGCTGATATGCATGCAAGGTCAAAACACTTTTATTGTCTTATAATATGCATTTGTTTTGATGTAATTATCCCAACTACTCCCATATGAATCGTTCAGTGATTCATTTATTACCAAATCCTTAGTGTGATGTTAATCTGCTCTGATTGGTCCGATGACCCAGCTTTTGCGATTGATCGACTGCGTTCAGCGTGAGCCAGAGAGAAATGGCCACCACCGCTTATCAACAATTTTGAAGTAGTCAGAGCGCAGAGTGTATGTGTGAGCGCATTGCAGGAGTATAAAGGAAAAGATCTGACCAAGTACTATACATCAATAGTCTTTTCTGATCCTTTCTTTAACAAACAGCTTATGAATCCCCTATTGTAAGCGTGTAGATTGCTGAAGCCCTCGTCAGAAAAATGACAGGAACACAGCACAAGGCTGGGGCTATATTGCTGAGATATTTTTGCAAAAATAAACTTTAACCACTGACTTTTCACACTTTAGGTAGGGAAAGTAACACTAACTTTCCCTCACACTTCAGAGCACAGCATCTCCACGACTTGATTCAACCAGGATCTGCTACAGTGTTTGTCTTCTTCTTCTTTTTTTCTTTTTTTTTTTTTTTTGCAAGTGTTTGTGAGCGGGGCTGAGGGTTTCACTTTTCCCGGGTCTGCGTGTGCAACAAATGGGCGGGTTCTGTATCGACGTCACACCGACATGGCTATAGACTGGTTACCCCGACAATTTATTTTCATTCATTGTGAATCGTTATGCATAATCATATATACTAAAGACTAACTAACAGTGATGAGTTGTTATTTTTTTTACCCCAGCAGCAGGTCTCTAGTTAGCCTGGCATCCAGTCTGAACAAACTGGGGTCTTGTCAGATTCGGGTGTGGCTGCACTTGCTAAAGATTCATGACATATTTGAGCCTCCGCCCCGAGCGTGCGGTGTCTGTTCAATAGCAGATACAGCTCAGTGGACAACTGGAGGAGTAAAAATAACACTACACCAGTGCGTAAGCACCAAAACGTCTGCCCTAAAAATAACTACTAATAAAACAAAATCAGCGCTGTGTATTGTTTCACAAACCAAACGTAGAATCATTTCCAATAACCTCAGTGTTTTTTAATAAAACCAATAAAGCACATAAAGCTATATTGCTCTCATTTGTTGTAAAAATCAATGCACCATGGCCTTTAAAAAAAGAGAAATAAAGGATGGTGCTCTTCAAAAAAGCAACTTATATTTAACATCAACAATTTTCAGCAATATAGTTACTATTTGTAACTTGCCCTTTGAATACTTATTTTATAATATAATTTAGGTATACAAATTGAATTACTATATGAATGGGACCTACCTGAACATACCTTAATGTAAAACTTTGAATATAATTGATAATCTGGGAAACAAACATTTGGGTAACACTTTATAATAACTACACACTATGAATCATCTATTAAGCATTAGCAAATAGTGAATTCATAATTTTTTAAGAATTAACTTTACATTTATGGATGTTAGTAAGCAGTAACTGCAGCTACACACATTGTATTCTTAACTTTATTCTTTGACATTTATAATGTGCTTAATGATTGTGTTTTCATACTATTTTACTTATTAATTGTTCATTATTAAATTCAGTATTGTATTATTTTCAAACCATTTATATTTAAGAGTAGTTGGTGGCTTTTAGAATAAATTAGAGTGAGTTAGTAAATGATTAATAAACTATTCAATCAACATTTATATATCTTATTATTCAGGAATAGTAATGGTAACTATGTATGTTAATAAATGCTTACTCAACTTAATAAACTCAAACTCAGCTTAATCTAAAGTGAGGTCTATTTATGCTTTGTAAATCCCTTAAAATGACAATTAAAGGCTCAGCATTAAATGAACAATAAATCTTTGCAATCTTATCTAAAAAATATATTGTAAACTTTGAACATTGCCGAATAACTGGAGTGTCAAAATACAATTAGAAACAAATACAATTAAATAAAATTAGATAAAACAACAATATATTCATTTAATAATTATGATTTTTTTCTTTTACTGTACCGTAATTTTGTTTTACATAAGATTTGAAAAATTAATTTTTCACTTGATACAGTTTTATTTATGTGTCTTCAAATGAATAGAAATGATTAAAGTCATTTATTTTCTTTTTTTTCCTGAGCCTTTAGTTGTCATTTATAGAGGATTTATAAAGCATAAACAGACCTCACTTTAGGTCACAAAACTGGATGAAGTTTAGTAAATAAAGCATTTATTAACATACAAATTAACTATTATTATATGCCTAGTTTACTAGTCATTTACTAACGAATTCTGAATGATCTTTAAAAACCACCAACCATTCTCTCAAAACTAGTTTGTAAATAATCAATACTTAGTTAATGACAAATAATCATTAAAAAGTGTGAATATACAATCCTTAAGCACATTATGAACGTACTTATTAGTTAAGAATATAGCATTTGTTTGTAGCTGTATTTATAAACTATGTAACTGTATTTATAATAGACGAACATCTATTAATGTAGAATTATATATATATACTTAACAGATAATGAATTCACTATTTGACAATGCTTAATAGATGATTCATAGTGTGTAGTTATTATGAAGTGTTACCCAAGTTTGCTTTGCCTTTTAAAGTGTGCCCTTCTGTTTCATTAGATTTTACCTTTAGTATTATTACATTATAACTGCAGTGTGTAAAGTTTTTTGAAAGTAAAAGGTTGGATGCATGTAAGCCAATTGTAATGGTCTAAAACAAGATTATGAAAATTGAAATGTGCATAACTGCAAAACTAAATAGAGAGAAACCGAGATGATCCAAAGCTGATATATATAATAGAATATCCATTATAAGAGACATTATGGCTCAAAACCCTGTTTTGTCTTATGCAATACCTCAAACAGTGGAGATTACAAAAGATTATTTCAATG